GCCTAGAGAGGGAGAGAGAGGGGCACGGTCAGAGATAGAGAGAGAAATGGAACGGCTGGACGGCCGGGCGAGGCGACGGATCCGCGCCGGAATAGTGACGGCGGCGGCGGAGCTCCTCCGGCGAAGGGCCTTCCACGGCCAAAACAAAGAGGAAGAGAGGGGGAAGGGGGCTCACGGGTTGGAAGGGAGAGGGGGCTGACCGGCTGAGGTGAGAGGAACGGCGGCTCACGGCGGCGGCACCAGAGACGGCGACGGCGCTCCGGCGAAGACGCACGGCGCTAAGAAAGGGGGGGGACGAATCGGTGGTGACGGGGCAGCAAGGCGACGGCCGGGACGATGGCGGCGACGTCTAGGTGTCGGGCGGTTCTGGGGCTGGCCGGACGACCGGACGACGGCCTGGGACTCGCCGGATGCGGCGGCGAGCCGAGCTCGCGCGCCGGGAGAGGAGGAAGGCAAGCTGCCGGCGAAGCTGCTGCGCTGCGGCGGCGCGACGACGGTGCGAGGAGGACGACGGCGTCGGCGGTTGCTTGGGAAGCGTCAAAGTGAGCTGGATGGGTGGTCGAGCAGCAGCCGGCGAGCAGAGCAGGAACGAAGCAGAACCAGGCGAGTTCGGGGAAGGAAGAAGAAGAAGAGAAAGAAAGAAGAAAAGAAAAAGAAAGAAGGAAAAGAAACGAAGAGAGAGAGAGAGAGCAGGTGGGAGTGGGTGAGCTGAGGGGACGTGGGCAGGGGGAGACGTGCGCGGAGAGGACATGCGCGGCAGAGGAGAGAGAGAGAGAGAGAGAGAGAGAGAGAGAAAGGGAGAGAGAGAGAGAATAAAAGAAAATATTTGAACATTCAAATATTAATCGCGATCCGATGGCCCAAATTAAAAACCGAAAGTGGTCTACGGGTCCAAAATAAGCCTCGCACATAAAAAGGGACAAAGGCCAAATTAATTAGACCAAATCATAACGAGGGAGGTCTACTAGTCCAAATTCGCACGTGGTCAAAAACTCCCATTTTTCCATCATTCCTGACAATCTCAACGCTGGTCACAACAATATTGACACCGTCCAATTTATTTTGTCCCGAAACTCCCGGAAATCGACTGCCAAGTTCGGGACCCAAATAACGGCCAAATTTGATCGAGTGCGATTCTAGCGAAATCTCTAATTTAAAATGATAACCGGGAGTGATCAGTTCCCGGGCGAGATTTTACTATAAGCACACTGACAAATTACGCGTTTTATAAATCCCAAAAATGGGCCGAAATTCGGGATGTCACAGAGGAACTGTATCACAAGAAAATACAAGGAACGGAGCCCAAAATCCATTTTATGGGCGTTATAAGGATGTAAATATGGGAAACAGCGACACCCAAAGATTTTTAAGAAGGAATAATTCGAAGGGTGATTATAAACCATTTGAAAGGGGGAGATGCGATTAGTGACCTTGGATGGCATCCGATTGATGAGGTAGATCGCCGTTTCAAATCCGTAGTGCCAGTATTGATGAGGGATAGAGCTATGAGCTAATAATGTCAAACCGGTTTCAACTATATGCCTATGACGACACTCAACCGCCCCTTGTTGTTCATGAGTATGAGGGGCGGAGATACAGTGAGCAATACCAATTTTTGAGAAAAAGGAAGGGAGGGCACGAAATTCCCCACCCCAGTCCATTTGAATGACTTTTATTTTTTGTGAAAATTGATGTTCAACAAGAGCTTGGAACGTATGAGAAACAGAGTAAAAATCCGACTTTACTTTAAGAGGATAAAACCAAATAAATTTGGTGCAATCATCAACAAAAATAATGAAATAGCGATGGCCATCAGTTGAAACAAAATGAGAGGGACCGCAAACATCACTACAAATTAAATCCAATGAAAATAAACTACAAGTTGGAGACAATCCTAAGGATTGATGACTAGCCTTGCCCAATTGATAAGATGTACATAACTGACTCAACCGTGTTGACTTACAAGGCAAATTATTCTCCTTGATCATAAACCGTAAGATACGCTCATGGGGATGGCCAAGACGTTGATGCCAGCTTTCCATGGAAGCCCGTTTCACAATACTGGTAGTAGGCATTGAAGATTGTTGCAGTATGGTGTAAAGACCACCACTACTTGGGCAAACTACTTTTTTAAAAGTTATATTCTAAGATTGAGCATATTTTGGTATTGAATGTTAAAAAGAATTGTTTGTGTCTGTGTAGATATTTTGAGAATCTATAGGCTGATAGTTTAAATTGATCAGACTATTCTATAAATAGATCTTTGATAACAAGGTAGGGAAACATAATGCATAGTAATTGTTTAAATACTTTGAGGAAATACATTCAGTACAGCATTGGCCCCGCTACAAACAACCAACTATAATGAAGACATAGATCCTCAAATCAAATTCGTCAATCACGTGATCGTGTCCAATAATTATGCCTCCCTCCTAAATGCTCTCGGGACGAAAGATGCTAGGTCCATAAGTGGATTTAACCATTTGGTATAGTAGGGGAAGCTGTAGTGCTGCGAATAAAGCCACGGGGATAGAGGTCAGCAAAGTAATGGGAATGAAAATCCACTCCGGTCTCTTATCCAGCACAATTGTGAGAGTTGCAGCAAAGGCCACCAGCATGAAAGCCAAGGAGAGGAAGAGAAAACAAAGGCCCATTATGATCTTCCTAGGCAAAGAGTGAAGAAAATCTTGCGCCTCATACCGCGAAGTTAAGATGGCTAGAAACAGCAAAATGGCTGTCACGGAGGAGAACAAACCTAATGCATCCGAAATTGCGAAAACCAGGAGGGAGTCATGTCCTAACAACAATGGGACCCCAGCATCGGTATTGCCTCCAGGCACAGTGAAAGCAGCAGCGAACAACACTGGCAATTAAAGTTGAGACGAGCATACATGAATTTGCTGTGTCCTTCACCCACTTCTCTCCACTATCAAGCAAATCTTTGTGCTTCTCCACAAATTTATTCCAATATGTTTTCCCCTCGTCGTAGTTGGATGTTACGAAAGGGATGCTCCAGCTTTCCACAGCCTAAGCATAAAACTCACAAATAGAAGTTTCAATAAGTGGACAAAGTATTGAAAATTTTCAACAAAAAACTGACTAGGGCACATCTCAAGGAGAATAAGACTTATACAACACTTAATGCGAAATTTCTTCAGAGCTTCGATGATGATTTGGTGCTTCATTTTAGTCAAATAATATATACATGGAAGGCACTACGTTTCTACTTTCTAATAAAATAAAGTTTGATCCAACTCCGGACCAGCGAGGTTGGTAACCAACCCTCACCGACCAACGGGCAAGGATGGCTAATTGCAAAAAAATTTAGAAAATAAAAGAAAAAACAAAAAAATCAGAAAATTTTAATAAAATATAAAATTGCGAAAATTCTCCACGTTAGCATTGGCTGGCCGTCGACGGTGCCACGTAGGGCCGCCGGTATCTACATCAGTGATTTCCAACCAAAATTGATCAGAAAGACTAAATTAACAAATTGTCAAAAGATTTAAAAATAAATTGGTATAATGAAAATGTTTAAGACTAAAATGGCGGCCGAATAAGAGGTTTAGGTTCTTTTAGAAAATTATCTTAATAAATATTAAGAATTGGTCAAGAAATTAGAGGATGAGTCTTTTAGTACTTTTACACGCTTTATTGTACCCTAACCATTGTATTTTGTTTCTAGAGTCATTTGAGTCGAGAGTCGATGGTTTTGAATTTTTTGTAACTAAACACTTGGATTAGAGTTTAGTTAACTCTGTATATCTTTGATAGATTCTATTAAGTGGTGAATTGCATACCTCGTATCTTGATGTGGATTCCTTAGGTAGTGAGCATCTACTCTTTATATGCCATATATTCTCAATTGAATTCCTTAGATGGTGAGCATTTATCCTATCATATGTCATGTATCTTGAGGGTATTCTTTAGGTGGTAAGCATTTCTATTATCGCACTTGTGTTAACCTCTAATCTCCGACCCCTTTCGTATGAGTTGGTGTCATAACCTCGGCTATGGCTGGTTGTCTTTATTGTGGACTCAATGGTGACCGTCGTGATGTCGAACTAGAAGATTTGAGTAGAAAAGTACAACAACTCCAAGAATAATCGGAGAAATTTCAATTGTTGTGACGTAATGATCCCCGTTACGACCCCAGACAAGAAGACAACAAAGAGGAGATTACCTCTTTCGTGATGTCTGTCCCAATGCAACTAGTGAAGAGGCTCTGTCGTGCCATTGATAAAGGAACGATGATTCTTACGATTTCGATGTCAAATTCGACATCTCGAAAGACTTCATCTATTGGCTTGAGAAATGTTGAAAGAAAAGAGGCACAATGTTTCTCCATTTGGGATGCTTTGTTCAACTATGGTACTTGCTTCATATTCATATTGAGTAAATTACTCAATCTATCATAAACCTATTGTATATACGTCAATTCAATCCTAAATTTTTTAATTTTATCAATTTAGTCATAAACTTTTGCACGAAATTCCAATGTAATCCTTTCGATCAATTTTCGTTGGAAATCGCTAACATGGTAGTCTAGTCATTGCTTGTCGTCCTATGCAGCACAGTGTCACGTCAGTAATTTCAGACGAAAATTGACTGTGAGAACTACATTGAAATTTCACACAAACGTTTAAAAATTTAAAATGACATCCATACATTAACTGATTAGATAATTTCCTTATTCATATTTTTCAAGTGTCAATTTATGTTAGGATTATATGTATTTTGCATTCTTCTGAAATCTGCAAATCTGTTCTTCTTCTTATTTCTTTGATTGATTGATGTATTTGGGAGTTTATCATGGTCTTTGTCATCATGATTCATACACTATAACTAACCCTATCAATCTTTTTATTTATCCCTTATCATTTTCTCATTAATTTGTAGAGCACATATTCGTTTTGTTTCTATAAAGAAAATTATATATAAGTGAATATATCGTATGTAAAAAAACTACATGAAGAAAATTCAATTTCGAGCGTCCAACGGATGGTAATCGAGTGCATTGCTAATTGGGAGTTATGTCTTCATATTACATAATTGATTGTTCAAAAGTAAATCAAATAACATGCTCTATGAATGGATAGTTACATAATAGGAAAAGGCAACTCAACCCCCCAAGGTTGGTGCAATTGGTTAGAAGCAGGAGATATTCAACTTAGAAATTGAAATTCAACGTTTCAAATCTCACCAACTGTTTTGAATTAGAGTTAGCTACACATGCCAAATGTTTGAATTTAATCCGTTTGTGAGGTTATAAGGGTCTTCCATCGGTGGTCTGCAGTGGAGGCTGATGATGCCCATGCGAGGGCCACTCGAGCCTCCTCGAGTGGTGGCGAGCTACGTTGTTGCCACCATTAAGCAACCAAACCTTGTCAGCGGTCCGGCGAGCATCGTTGCACTCGAAGTGACCCCACGAGGGTCCCCAAACCTTGCCAGTGACAAAGGGGGCGGCCCTTTCTTGTTCCTCTTTGATGATCACTTGCTCTGTACTTTTTTGACCTTTATCATTTAAACTCTAGCTTTTTATTTTTAGTTTTTGTGATGTGGTGCCTATTTGCGCCATATCAGTGCCACTTGTGAAAATTATTTAAAAAATAATAAAAAAATCCAATAAATTTTCTATATATAAAAATTGATGGAGCTAATGAAAAGACTAACGTGAAGGACAAAAACAATCTTTAGGACTTATTAAGCATGAATTCAAAGTTTTAGGTCTCAAGTGCGGGATTGACACAAATTTTAGGACTCTTGTTGCATGTAATTGTCCCAACTTTTTTTTTCATGACAGGGAATTCAAAGTTGAAACGAAATAAAGGTAAATGGGGAAAAGTGTCAAAAAGTTTTAAACTTTTTGTATTTGTGCCAATTTAGTCATAAACATTTTTTTTGTGCCAATTCAATTCTAAACATTTTGTATTGGTGTCAATTTAGTCCTAAACCTTTTTTTTGTGTCAATTCGGTCATAAACCTTTTACATTTGTGCCAATTCAGTCCTAAACCTTTTGTCTTTGTGCCAATTCAGTCCTTCCGATCAATTTTGGCTAGATTTTGCTAGCGTGGATGCCAGCCGGCCGGCAGCCAATCACCAGCACAAACGTGGACAACTTTAATAAGATGTTAATATTTTTTTGAATTTTTTATTTCTATTTTTCTTTTCTTTTTTTTCCCTCCCCTCCCTCCTTCCTCCAGCCTGTCGCCGAACCAGCAACCGGCCAGAGGCCAGAGGTCGACAAGGCTCGCCTTCGCCGGTGACAGCGACGGCGAAGGCGAGCCTCGCCATGGCTAAGCAAGGCTGGACCTCGCCGGCCTCTGGCTAGTCGCCGATCAGGCGATCGGCCGGAGGAAAGAGGTAAGGGAGGTAAAAAATAATAATAAATAAATAAATAATTGAAAAAAAATATTAAAATATTATTAAAGTTGTCCACATCAGCGCCGGTGACTGGCTGCCGGCCAGCCGGCATCCACGTCAGCAAAATCCGGCCAAAATTGACCGGAAGGACTGAATTGACACAAATTGATCGGAAGGACTGAATTGGCACAAAGACAAAAGGTTTAGGACTGAATTGGCATCAATGCAAAAGATTTAGGACTGAATTGGCACCAATGCAAAAGGTTTAGGACTAAATTGGCACTAATGCAAAAATTTTAAGACTGAATTGGGACCAAAAAAAGGTTTAGGACTAAATTGGCACATATGCAAAACGTTTAGGATTGAATTAGCAACAAAAAAAAGGTTTAGGACTGTTAAATATGTCTTGAATTTTATGTACTCGGTCCGGTCCATCACTCGACCCGACATTTTTTTTGTGCGACCCAAAAGTGGAGAAAAATTGAGATTTAGTTCGTGATGATAGGCCCAACCCGAAGCAAACGAACAAATGTCTCGAGGGGTTCGGGGGCGTAACCCGTGAGGAAATTTTTTGGTGAGCCCTATTTATACTGCGGCTAGGTTTTTTCATTGATTAAAAAAGAGAGATTTTCGTTTTGGGAGAGATTTGTGAGCCGTGAGGTTTTGTTAAGTCGTTTTTTCGACTTCTAAAAACTGTACCCCCTTTGATTATAGTGGAATTTTGTTTTGCCTCGCCTGTGGACGTAGATCACCTTGTAATCGAATCACGTAAATTCTTATGTTATGTATTTGTTTTTCCGCGTTTGTTTCGAACAACTGGTATCAGAGCCTAGTTCGATTCTAGGGTTCTTTGAGATGACATCTTTGAAGTTTCAGATCTCATCTTTTGACAGACAGAACAACTTCGGATAATAGAGAATAAAGATGAAGGCTTTATTGAGGTGAGAGGGTACGATTAGGACGCTGGACGGAAAATATCCAGACAATATGACCTCGACTGAGATTGAAGAGATGGACGAGAAGGCGCATAGCGAGATCCAATTGTCTCTAGATGACAAGGTTTTGTGAGAAGTCGCCGATGAGGAAACAACGGCCGGTCTCTGGAAGAAACTGAAAAGTCTCTACATGAAGAAATCTCTAACATCAAGACTTTAATTGAAGCAGCATCTTTATACCCTAAAGATGCGTGAAGGTACGTCTGTTCAGGAACACTTGGATGAGTTTAATAAAATTGTTTTGGATACGAAAAATCTAGATATTAAACTCGAGGATGAAGATCAAGCTTTGATCGTGTTATGTTCACTACCTGCCTCATACGAGAATTTTGTGAACTCGATGCTTTATGGATGTGAATCCATAACTTTGGAGGATGTTAAAGCATATTTGAATTCTGCAGAGCTGAGAACAAAATTGAATGAGAATACCAGTGAAAACAAAGTAGATGGTTTGTTTGTGAGAGGCAGGACCAAGAGAAGGGATAAAGCTTTCCGAGGGAAATCTGTTGGTCGTTCAAAATCTAGGCCACTTGGAGATAAGATGAACGTTGAGTGCTACTATTGTCACAAAAAAGGACATTACAAGTCAGATTGTCCTTCGCTCAAGAAAAAGGATAAGCAGCATGGTCAAAGACAAGATTCGGCGAATGTTGCAACGAAAATGAGTCTAATGTGTCAGACAGTGTTCTTACGGCATGCTCTGCTGTTAATTTCTCCAATGATGTTTGGATAATGGATTCGGGAGCATCATATCACATGTGCCCAAATAGGGAATGGTTCACCACATACGAGCCATTGAATGGTGGATCAGTCTTGATGGGGAATGATGCTGTATGCAAAGTCGTGGGTATTGGTACTGTTCGGATTAAGTGCCACGACAAAGCAGTGAGAACCTTGACTGAAGTAAGACATATACCAGATTTAAAGAGAAACCTTATCTCGTTGAGCAATTTGGATTTCATTGGGTGTGTGTACTCAGGTGGAGGTGGAGTTCTCAAAGTTTTAAAAGGCAATCTGGTTGTGATGAAAGGAAGCAAGGTGAATCACTTGTATCATTTGCAGGGTAGCACAGTTATGGGTCCTTCAAGTGGCACATGCAATTTAGTTTCTGATAATGATAGAACGTAATTGTGGCATATGCGTTTAGGCCACATGAGTGAGCGTAGCATGATAGTTTTGAGTAAACGTGGTTTACTTTATGGGGAGCAGACGACCTCGCTAGATTTCTGTGAGCATTGTGTTCTTGGCAAGCAATGCAGAGTCAGATTTAGTACAGGGATGCATTTGACAAAGAGCACACTCGACTATATCCATTCCGATTTATGGGGACCAGCATAGGTTCCATCTAAGGGTGGTGCTCTTTACTTTGTGACGTTCATTGACAATTATTCTAGGAAGGTTTGGGTTTACTTTCTGAAAAGAAAAAAGTGATGTGTTTGAAACCTTCAAGAAGTGGAAAGCCCTTGTTGAGAATCAGACAGGGAAGAAGATCAAATGTCTTAGGACCGATAATGGTCTTGAGTTCTGTGGTGGCGATTTTAATGAATTCTGTGCAGATGCAGGTATAGTTCGACCCCGTACAGTTAGGCACACTCCACAGCAAAATGGAGTGGCAGAACATATGAACAGAACTCTATTGGAGAGAGCAAGATGCATGCTTTCTAATGCTGGCATGGAAAAAGATTTTTGGGCTGAAACTGTTAGCACGGCTTGTTATCTGGTTAATCATTCTCCTTCAACAGCAATAGAATGCAAGGCTCTTTTTGAGATGTGGTTAGGTAAGCCTTGTGATTATTCTAATCTAAAGGTTTTTGGATGCCCTGTTTATTATCATGTTAAGGATGGTAAGTTAGAACCTAGAGCAAAGAAATGTATTTTTGTTGGGTATGCTGATGGGGTGAAAGGTTATCGTTTATGGTGTCAAGAACCTAACTCACCTAAGTTCATTATTAGTAGGGATGTTACATTTAATGAAATGCATATGCTTGATCAAAGGAAAGATGTTGATGAGTCTGCAGGAAAACATGAGAGTGATATGAATGAGGTGGAGGTTCAGGTGGAGCTTCCAGAAAAGACCTCTCAGAATGATTTGAACGAGCAAATTGCTCCTGTTGATTCAAGTTCAAATGAGGAAGCTGTAGATGAGGTGGAGTAGCCATACTCTATTTCTACTGGTAGAGAAAGGAGGCAAACCCGGCCTCCTCAGAAATATGGGTTCTCTAATCTGGTGGTTTATGCTCTTACTACGACAGCAGAAGATATGAATATTCAGGAACCTTCTACCTATACAGAAGCTGTTAGTTGCACAGAATCAGAGAAATGGGCTGTTGCTATGGTTGAGGAACTTGAATCACTTCGCAAGAACCAGACTTGGGACTTGGTGCAGTTGCCTAAGGGAAAAAGAACCATTGGGTGTAAATGGGTCTTCAAGAAAAAGAAAGGAATTCCAGGTATTGAAAATGCTAGATGCAAGGCCCGGCTCGTAGCTAAAGGCTACAATCAGAAGGAGGGAATTGATTATGATGAAGTTTTTTTCCCTGTGGTAAAACACACTTCCATTCGTGTGTTGCTGGCTATAGTTGCTCAATTTGACTTAGAGCTTGAGCAACTTCATGTGAAGACTGCTTTTTTGCATGGCGAGCTTGAGGAAACTATTTATATGGCCTAGCCCGAGGGCTACTATGTAGAAGGCAAGGAAGATCATGTTTGTAGATTGAAGAAATCCTTGTATGGTCTGAAGCAGTTACTAAGACAGTGGTATAAGAGATTCGACAACTTTATGATATGGAGCAGTTATCATAAGAGCAACTATGATAGTTGTGTCTACTTCGGGAAGGGTTCATATGGATCCTTTGTCTATCTTCTCTTATACGTGGATGACATGCTCATTGCTGCAAAAAAAACATGTCAGATGTGTTGATCTTGAAGAAACGGCTCAGTGAGGAGTTCAAGATGAAAGATCCGGTAACTATCAAGAAGATTTTAGGAATGGAGATTCAGAGGGACAGGAAAGAGGGAAGTTATATCTCTCGCAGAGGAGTTATATTGAGAAGGTACTTGAGAGGTTTGGCATGCAAAACACTAAGCCCGTCAGTACACCGTTGGCATCCCATTTTAGACTCTCAGCTCTAAATTCACCTCAATCAAAGGTTGAGGAGGCTACGATGTCTCGTGTCCCATACTCCAGTACAGTTGGTAGCATTATGTATGCTATGGTATGCACTCGTCCCGACATTGCGCAGGCAGTTAGTGTGGTTAGTAGATATATGGCGCATCCTGAAAAAGTCCATTGGCAGGTAGTGAAATATATACTTAGGTATCTTAGAGGCTACGCAGAGTTGGGCCTAGTATTTGATAGAAACAGTTTCAACGGTACCTCAGTTGTGGGATTTGTGGATTCCGATTTTGCAGGTGATCTCGATAAGAGAAGATCTTTGACTGGCTATCTTTTCACACTATCTAGTTCGGCTATTAGTTGGAGGTCAACCTTATAGTCGACAGTTGCTTTGTCTACTATAGAGG